CGGTTTTATGGGATAGCGAGGAAGTCTCCGCTTAAGTGTTTAACGTCTGCTTTATATGTCTGTACTAACTGGGATATTCATTAATCTGAGTGGTAACCCGAGGCAACAGAAAACTCACAGAATTGGGGAGCCCAGCGATGACTACAGGCTGCATTTGGCATCCCATATAGAATATCCTGGTGTGTGCAGTCTTATATATATTATATTGTGGAGGGGGCGCAAATGTCCCCACAGTGTAATAAAAACTTATTATCTGTGACTCCAATAAAAAACTAAAAATGTCAAAAGTCTTGTATTTTGTTTGGTTACTGATGGTTAACGATAGTGCTGGGTAGGGGTTAGGTTGTCGTTGCTAACATTAGAGTTATGCCCGTAGGAATTAATGGAGAGTCCCCACAAAGATATAGATGCCTAATCTGTCTGCTATGTGTTTGTGTGTGTGTGTGTGTCTGTCTGTGTGTGTCTGTGTGTGTGTGTGAAGAGCTTGCATGTTAGCTATGTGAGTTTCCTCGGGTGCTCTTGCTTTTCTCTCATAGCCCAATGTTCTGCATTTTTCGTGATTTAGTGCCATTACCCTTGATTGCTCTTGCTTTATGATCCTCTGCACCCACTCCTTCTTCGCCTGCGGTGCAGTCTGAGGTTCAGTCTGTGTGCCCTGCGATTCCTGGGAGTGTAGCCAGGCTGAGTTTGACCCTGCATAGGATACATGGTGATGGAGAACATTACAATGGGATGATACAATGGGAGACCTTGGTGCTGAAAGGACAGATGAAATCACTGTTTTCCTTGCATAACGTGTTTCTCGGTTCTCGTTATATTCAATCTGAGTTTATTCACATGTATAATGAATAGCTGTTGAAACACTGTCTTTCTGAGGCATGTCAGCATTGTAGAAGCATTGTAAACATTCTAGCTGAAACTTTGTGTTCTTCGTTTGAAACCTTCCTGGTCGACGTGACATGTATGCGTTGACTGTTGAGTTTTTTTTTTTTAAATCCTTTAAATAATACATCAGCACGAAAGTATTGCAATTCATGTGGAAACAGTGTTTATTTCTTTGTTTTCAATGTTGTGGTGGGGACACGCGATGGGTAGGCTTCCCGGTGCATCTGTAACGGTGTAGTAAGTTATCTGTCCTTACCGCCTTTGAATGCACTGGATAAGTTGCCATGGCAACTCTGAAATCGATTTAAGCAGCTGGCTTGTGCTTTGAACTCCATACTGTTATTCAGCAACTGGTTGAATATCTTGGCGTTCTCCCAGAAAACTGCTATAGAAATCAGAAAACTGACATCCTATGATTGTGTCAACCGTATAGGCCCAGCTTGATACAGTCATTTTCTTGTTGCTGACAAATAGGGAAGCAGATTGTCCTCGAAGGAAATTTTGTTCTGTTGGCTGCTGTTTTTAAAGTCAGTCACTCTGCAATTTCTTAAAAAGTCTTGAAAAATTGGTGCATTTGTCACCCGTGTTTTTCACCCGAAGCACGTTTCTTAAACCGAATGCACGTTGTTCACTTTTTTTTCTTGTCACATGGATATTTGAAACATGCTCACACGTAATGCTTGTGTGTTTATGGAAATGACAGGCAGGCCGCTTGTGCGTGAGCAGACGGCTGAGTGAAGCATGTAAATGGGATTTACTTGTGCATGTCTCCCCTTCCCCTCACCTTTGCTCTGCAGATGTCGCGGCTTAGATTGCTGGTAGTGGGGAGGATTTAGCCCACAGCTAAAACCCTTTAATTCTCCCATATGCATATGCCCCCCCCCCTCTTTGGGGTCCTCCTGGCAGGGAGTGAGAGAGATGAGTGTGTGTGTCTGCAGGCAGCCGTGCGGTGCACCATGACATCCACCTACTCCTCCCACGTGGCGCTGCCCTGTGGCTAGCTATTGCCCAGAGTCAAACTCCGCGGTGGTCTTTGAGAATGTGAGAACTGTGGGGGGGGGGGGGGGGGGGGTGGGGGGGGGGGGGGGGGGGG